GCTGCTAAATTTAATAAGTTTTGAAGAATCGTTTCTTGAACGAAGATGTAATAAGAAACAGCAAGAAAGGACAAGAAGCAAGGAGAAGCGACCAGAGATAATAATAATAGAAAAAAGAGCAAGAAACAAGAAATCCGTGTAGGGTTGGGAGATATCTCATTTTCATCAGAAATGTGCAGACTACAATCACGCCTTATTAAGAAAGGTTCTGGTTGTTTTCTAGAGTTTCTAAAAAACTGGTTTTCCAAAAACCGGGGTCTCGATGTCCCCGCCCTTTAGAGCTTATAATTGTTATTTCCTTACCATTTCATGAGAGCGATAATATGGGAGTCTTGTCTAAAACTTTCGGCGATTGTTAGAACTTTAGCGAACTCTATCTCCAAGACCGTGTGATCTTTCAAAAAAACTATATAAATCGACGCCGGTCACTCGATGTAGTTTCTTTTCCTCTTTTAAACAAAAAAAGAATGAACTCTCTACGACAAACCGCGATTAAAAATCTTGGGACGCACTTCAGGTGTAACTCTTATGTAGTGAAAACACTGTATTAAACGCTGTATGAAATACTCGATTTTAGGACTTCTAGGAAAATGCCTGTAACTTTTTGATGCAAGGTCATACAGAGTTGTGCTTATTTTGATCAGAAACGTTCGCTCTACAAAGCTGTGTGTTCAGAAAAATTTTAATTGCATAAATATCCAGGAACAAACCATTATTTGAAGACCCATTTTTTCGAGGCTCTTAGAAAACTTGCTCAAAATCCCCGAAAAACCAGTTTTGTAACCAAAAGCAATACAGATTCTGGAAGTAGACACTTCAGGCTATCTTTCCATGTGCATATCTCAAAACCGATTTTTTGACTGAAAATCACCATTTCTGAGGGGTGGCTCCTTAAGAGCTTATAATTGTTATTTCCTTACCATTTCATGAGAGCGATAATATGGGTGTTTAGAGGGATTGAGCAAACTTTCCTTGATAAAATAAAAGAGAATGATTGAATATTATGAAACGCAGGCGCTGTATAATTTTCTCGAAGTATGTCTTGTCTAAAACTTTCGGCGACCGTTAGAACTTTAGCGGACTCTATCTCCAAGATCTTGTGACCTTTCAAAAAAACTATCACGAATTATGTACCTAGACTTACTGTACAAGCTGACAAACTTTAAGGAGATTTATTGGGAAAGGGAAGGAGGAAACCTTTCAACACCTAGATATTTGTTTGAAATAGAAAATCTAGAAAAGAAACGTTTACACGCAAACCCAAGCAAACATGACTGATGCAAAAAATCTACATACATTTCTTCTATAATCGAGCGATACACGACTATTTGTCATCTAGATTACTAGCTGGAAAAGGGACTTTTAACCAGATGCGTCTGCATGTCTAGCAATAGTTAAGAGCCGTTATCTAGGAGAATCAGACAATCACCCGTCGACAATGATTGTTGATGTCACAGATGTCATTCAGAAAAAGGCGTACAAAGCTGAGAGACGTCTCATTTTGATCAGACTTTTACGGGGTATAACCTGGAGAGGTCGAAAAAGTGTTCTAAGGGGTTTTTCACGATTTGGGGTTTTCTGAAAAATCGGTTTTTGAGAACTATTCTAGGAAAAAGAATAGTCCATAAACCAAAATCTGCTATCTGAATACATCCGAGTGTGGCCTACATTTTGATATAAGGCTTGAGCCGTAAACATTTTTCCGCATTGGGAAAATCAGCTTATGAGCTCATGCGTTCAAGCCAAGAGCCATGTTCTAACAAAGCAGTTTTGAACTCTCTGAAAAGGTAGAAAAGATAGCCCGTGTTCTAAAGTATAAATTCATAACAAAATATAATTGTTAAAGCTCGCGAAAATAGGTAAAAACACTTTATTTCTAAACTTGATCAGAAAGGCCGATTTGCAGCGCCATCTCTTGTCCTCTCTGTAATTCGAGAACCAATGAATTTTGAATGACGCTATTAAAACGATTATCTAGTTACATATAAACCTACATCAGGTATAAACCCCATTTAAATCTGTGACATCAACAATCAGTGTCTGTCTGAGTCTATCGGATAATGGCTCTTAAATCGATCGATTATCGGGCGATAAATTGATAGTTGCAACTAGAAAAAGTCTAGCAATCGCCAATTACTTCATTTCCACTGTCGTTACACAATAGTTGCAATCGAGTAAAAATCTGGCAATCTAGATGAATTGGGCGATACTAGACTTTTTTTTGGACGATTGGGAAAAGTCTATTTTGCTGGAAAATAAAAAAACTATACTTTTGACGATTCTACTAAAATGGAAGTAAATTGAAAACTTGTTTATTTTGAATTTTTCTTATATTTGTGTTAAGTTTTAAATCTACCTGCCTATTCTTCCTAATCCAACAATTCCAACAGTTGAACTCTCTAATGATTTTCCGCATAAAAATGTTATATTCCAATTCCAATTTTCTTGTTTAACTATATCTATATCTTCGATAAGTCGTCTTGATGTGGTTAATAATAATGCTACAGTTAAATCAGCTATTTAATTATAAAATAATTTGATTTGCTTTATTTTTTATTAGACAAACTAATCTATTCTTAAATTTTGTTTTCTTACCTATTGAGTTTGTTGGTACATTTGGTGCGTAGCCTATAGGTATATGACGTTTTTGACATTCCTTAACATCAATATGATCATATCCTACAGATAAAGTTGATAAAGCTTTTAAATGACTACCACAATATTCTAATAATTCTTTATCTATTAGAACGCCACCTGTAAATAACAGCATTTACATGATTTTCATCAATTAATTTCAATAATAATTCGCGTTCAATTAATTCTGATTTATTATGATGATAGACAATATCAGATTTGTTTGATAACATATCAATGTATTCATTAGGCAATTGAATTGTTATTAATATTTGAGGAAGTTTAGCTATAGACGACATAAAATCAATATTTAAGTTTAAGATTTAAGTTAATTAGAGGCGCATTACGCTGTTAGATAGTGTATCAAAGGTTATATCTCATGAATAAAACGCATTTGAATGACCTCAGTTAAGATTAAATTAAGGGTAAACTGCTTATATTAACCTTAAATTTTTAATAATAGCCAAATGTTTCGGCTTGATAAAGCCTTTAATTAGTATTCAACCGTTTTAGGATACTGCCAGATAGTGAACGCTGAAATAATCAGCCGGCAGCAAATTTTTCGATCAAATATTTTATGAATATGTTGATGAAGGACTTTTCGTCACCTCAGATTTTATTCAGCATGTCAGTTATACTAGTTTTTTTCAAAATACTTTTACATTTCCCTGCAAAATACATGAGAAAAAAATTTTGTAACTCGATTTTGATTCACGTTTGTGACCGCATAAAGGGGGGGTGTTAGGGCGTGGTCCATCTGACTGAATCAATTCGTACATCATGATGCTGGAAATGACAAACGAAGTGCACACGGACATCCATGAATACCCACGGACACTCACACAGACATCCACGGACACCCACTGAGAAGCCCAGTTACGCTCAAGTTTTTACTTGCAGTTAACCTTTTACTCATTGGATGTACAGGTGACGCATTGTTCTCCACCAAGACAGTTAGCTATACAAACATCTGCAGGCAAAAAACCTAATACGTCATTCAGAAATACAAAAAGGACAGTTGTAAAAACGCGAAAACGCTAACTAATATTTTTTAACCACATATTCTTGCGCCATTTTCAAAGACTAACAGACTGGGTTTTCTGGAAAACTCCAGTTTTCATTGGCACACATTACGACCCCTCGAAAAAATGGTCCGATCGAGCTCAAAATTTTACCACAGATACTTCAGAGCCTGTCTCAGGTTGCTTCGTCTTCTTTTCGAAAAATATTCTTTCCTACTCGGGATATTCGAAAAATATATAAAATCCCATATGAAAAACCGGTTTTTCATTTTAAAATCACGCCGAAAGTTGAAATCGAAAACGCTTAAAAAAAGACGAATCTGAAAGAGGGTCAGACGTATCTGTGGTAAAGTTTTCAGTTCGACTGAGCCATTTTTTCGAGGAGTCGTAATCTGTACCAATTGAAGAAACTATCGAAAAAATATTGTTATATATATTGTTATAAATATTGTTATACATGTTGTACACAGGGCTCTCTCAGCAGTGATGCTTATATCTCCATGAAAATTTATTGAAAAATTCCGGAAGACAACTCATCTTGAGGAGCAGACTCTTTGAAGGAAAAACTTCATAAATTTTTCAAGGAAGGTTATGGAGAGTTGGGAGTGGTCTCATTTTATAGCCCAGACGTTTCGCTACATTAGACTATCCCAAGCAAATATCACCTATGGGAAAAATCTAGATACATTTCGTCTATAATCGGGCGATACACGACTAGTTGCCATCTAGATTACTAGTTGGAAAAGGGACTTTTAACTAGATGCGTCTGCAGGT